CTTTCAATTCTTCGCGAATCAATAGAAAGCCAATGAACTTCTCGGTTGACACCCCGAAGGTGAACTTGGACCTCATATTGTATTTTTTAAGTGTTCTAAAGGTCTTTTTTAGATCTTCAATGTGTTGTTTGGTTGACTTACTCTTAACTAGAACATCGTCAACATAAACTTCATAATTTTGTCCTTTTTTTATTAGAAAAAATGACATCCATGAGGCGTTAATAGGTCACCCCAGCATTCTTAAGCCCGAAGGGCATTACATTAAAATAAAATATCTTGTGCAGTAATAAATGTTATTTTTTTACGTCGTTCGAGTGCATATTTATCTGGTGGTAGTGGAAATAAGCGTCGAGGAAACTCATTACAGAGTATCTGACCGTTGCGTCCACCAATATGTAGATCTTCGGAAGGAGGTAGGTGTCCTTTGAGCAAATGGCGTTGAGATTGGTGAAATCTACGCACATCCGCTACTTGTCATTGGTTTTTTTGACCATTACGACGTTCAAGAGCCAGGTTGGGTACTAGACTACATAGTCGGCATCCAGTAGCTTTTGCACCTCCGCTGCTATCAGTTCGGCCAAAGTTTTTGAGAACTGTCGAACCTTCTGCTGGATTGGTCGAGAGTAGAGGCTGACGTTCAGTAGATGACACGTCGCATTGATTGAAAGGTCGAGCATTTCGTTGCGGTCCAAGCAAACACCTCTCGATGCTCTCGGAGCGTCTGTATCAGCGGGTTCCTAAACCCTGCATCGAAAATGTTCACTGATTAGGAAAATCGTACCAGGTTTTTCGTCGGACACAGGTACCTGAATGATTGCCTCACTGGTCTCACAAACTCCCTCCCTCTGGATCTGGATATCGAGCGGTTCTGAAATCGCTCACAAATAACAGCGCCTAGACTGCTTCAAGTTTCCCCAGACCGTAATAACCTCCGCGTCGCCCGAGAATTTTACACCCACATGATATGTAGAAGTCATTGTCCGGTAACTGTTTAGGAGTGGTCGATTGAAGATAGCATTGTAGATCGACAAGGATTTCACCATGAGAAAGTCCTCCGTGTTGGTATATTGCTTCCAGGGTTCCCCCGAAGAGATAGCTAGGTCGATGAGACCTAGTTCCTCCTTCCTTTCCCTGGAGAATCTGAATAATGAGTTGGCTTGTACTGTCAATCAGTCGGTTTTCAGACCGATCTTATCGAACACTGTTATAAATAGGATGTTCACCGAACTCCTGTATCAACGATAATGGTCCCCGCCTGGTACTTGTAGATCAGTAGAGGTGTAAACGAGCAGAACATGAGCGAGCTCAGCTCAACTCGTGTTCAGCTCGTTTATATTTCAAGCTCAAAAAGTGTGTTCATGTTTGACTCGTTTGCTTAGTGAGTTGAACACGAGTCGTTTACGAACAAAGAGTCGTTTTGACAACCCTAATC